CCACATGTATGATAGGGTCGCCATTGATGAATCTAAGAAACTTAGGTTGGGAGTACATAATTGGTTGATGAATGTGTAAGGCGTGTATATCTATATTTGTCGTCCGTGATAGGTAAACTGTTATGAATAATGTGCCTCTTAATTTCACTTTAAAACATGCCAATATCAATTCGATAATTTGTAATATTGGTACGGTGGTCTGTACAGTATGGACCTTGAGCGCAGGTATAAATGTATAACTGTTGACTAATTGTGAGTAATCCGCTGCATGACAAGTATATTCGCTGTGTCATATACCGCCCCTGTATTCTTGTCTGAACTCTCAATTTACCTGTTTTCCTTTATTTTATAAGAGATACTTAGTGGTATTTTGGGTCTAAGCACCAGGTTAAATCCCAGGCTGCCCTGGATGCAGCTATGAAGGGTATTTGTAGATGATTTTTTGTGTGTGAAAATAGTGGTCATGAAGCCTTCTCTTTTGGTGGGGCATTTGTAAAAATGTGAGATGACTAGAAAATGGTTGTACACGAACAAATTATCACCGAAACAACCATTTTATTGTCTTTTTTATGCCTTTTGTTATCCTTCTCTGCTAGTTTGTTAACATTGTGCACTTGCCAGCTTACAATGACCTATGTGTACCTTTCTCGTATGCATGACACAATCACCATATCCAAACACTTCATAGTTTCTTCCCTCAATATCCTTCTTTTCTTTTTACTTTTCAGGGCAGTCACTGTGGTCCTCTCACCTGTTATTCAATTTTTCTGGAAGCTACTTGTTTACTGTCTTTTTGTGGTGTGGCAGGGACAGTCCATTTACGGTGCTTTCTCTTGGGCACAGTTCAGATTGGAAATTGGCACCGTTTTCATCTAGCAGGCAGGAGGTCAACAGGATAAGATATTTGACATTAGGAACTGCTGCTACAGAGGGCTTTGAGTTACTATTCCCACAGCCAACAATAGTATACTGGCTAGATCTGCCGAATGAAAAGAACATGCATGATCAGGACATTTCTTCTAAACCACTTCCCAATGGAGGAGGCACTTTAGGACAACATCGGCATAGGAAAAAGATTAAGAAGTCATTGACAGCTTGCCCTCCTTGCCACGTGGTTGCAAGTACCTCTTCTGGGCCTGATACTGCTCCTCTGGGATCTGATTCTGATATTTTGCATGACGATGATAAGCCTCCTAAAAGGAGTTCTAAGAAGAAAGTCAACAAGTGGAAACAGTGCAGGCGAGCAACCGGGGAAAAGCTTAATTTGTTGCCGGAACTCCCCTGTGAAGTGCATATTGATGCCGCCTCTCCTGTTGAGGTATTTCTGCCTGATTCAGTGGCTGATAAATTGTCAGATGCCTCATCCTCTGCCTGCTCACTGGTTAAAGATGCCCATTTGGGCAAACATAATGGCGAGAGCAACAATGAGTATGTGGAACACGAAAGTGATAGGAAGGATGTCTCTGGATGTACAGGGTCATCTTATATAACTGTAGGCGAAAGAGTTAGCTGCAAAGGTGCTCCTTACCTGAATGATGGGCCAAATACCGCGGATTCTTCAGAATTTGGTGGACCTTCTGTCACTGAACATGCATGTTCGCATGCGAGAGAAGAAAGCACTAGCTGCCAGAAGTCATTATGTGCCTGTGTTTGTAACCCCAGTGATGCAACAGCAGCTTCATTCTTTACGGGTTGGAACAGTGAAAACTGTGGGGACTGCAGTATTGATTTTGAGGGAAATACACGAGATGGTTTGCAACATGATGCTTCTACTTTTCTGGATAGTGTAAATACGGCATGCCATTTGACAGATGTCCATTTAAGTGGCGCTCATGCTGAAGATGTTACTGAGAGTAGTAGTCATTCTGAAAGAGTTCAGTGCAGCAGTGAAGCCTGTAGCAGCACGACGTTTCTTCCAGCTAGTCCGGGGAGGAGCGGCAGGAAATCAAGAAACAAATCTAGCTGTACTAATATGACTGCGACTAATAGGGTAGTAGGTTCTAATAGGCACAAGCATAGTGGAAAAGACAGTCCAGTCTCTGTGTGGCAGAAAGTAGAAAAACCTGATAAAGAAAACTCATCTGGAGCAGGACATGTGGTTGTTTCAGCAGTTGAGGATAAAAGTGCACTAGGAGATGATACCAAGGGTGTGCAGCACGATCCAAATAGGCCAATGGATAAACATCGTTGTAGAAAAACATGCAAACAGCACAAGAAGCAAACCCCGTTTCTGTATGAACAAACAAGTTTGCCTTGTAAAAAGGGTGGTTGTCCGTCGCCGAGGAACTACTACGCTCCTAAGAATGGTAGCCCCAAGACACCCAAGAACCACTCGCAGCAGACTGAAGGATTGTTGATGTTACAGCCAGTATGTGCCAGGGACATCAGTGATGCATCAATCGCAACTGGTACTGAAAAAGCAACACTGTCATCTTACAACTTGGGTTCTCACTTGGTGCCACAAGCTACATCCAAGGAACCATGCACATTGGTCATTCAAGACGATGTTCACTCTCTTTTCCTTGAAAATAAGGCCACATCAACAGATTTGGACTCCAGGAACTTGTGCGTCGATCCTTGCGCTGCAGAAATGGAAGAAGCCCAATGTGTGAAGTCATATTCTGCTGCTGGGCACATGTCACATAAATGGGTTCCTATTGGAAAGAAAGATATAACCCATTTGGATGTTCCAGAGGCTTCTGTGGTTGAAGCATCAGTTCCAGCTAATGATGTTTCTGTTTCTGCTAATATAGATGTTTCAGATGCTCCTGCATCAACTAAAAGTGAAGGCAGCAAAGTTGCTACTGAGTTGACTGCTAAACCAAAGCCATCTGGACAGCTTGATTCGAAATGCCAAGGACATATTGACAATGGGACTGTTTTCAGCATGATAAGAGAGGCAGTGAGTGATGCTCATAGCACCCAACAGAGAGCGGAAGATATTCAACTTCACATTGGCAGGCCTCTTGCCGATTTTGAACAATTTATTTACTCTGCTTCTCCAGTTCTGCACTGTAGCCCTTGCCCTACTGGCTGCAACTCTTCTTCACAGGAATGGGTTAGAGATGGTTTGTGCTGTCATCAGACTGCGGATATCTCTCTAGCTAGCATTTGGCAGTGGTATGAAGAACCTGGCTGCTATGGCTTGGAAGTGAAGGCACAGGATCTCCGTAGATCGAAAGGCTTATGGAATAATCGTTATCAGTTTAATGCCTACTTTGTGCCATATCTATCTGCGGTTCAATTGTTTAGGCAACCTAAGAGAACTGTTGATAAGGATGAAGCCAATATGGGTGCAAGATCTAAAACATCTCCATGTATAAGCTCTCTCCCAATATTAGCGAAGCTTCTACCTCAAGAGTCCAATAAAAGAAATAGCTCGCCGGCTTTCCATGTTAAAGATGATCAGCAGTTGGAGACTACAGAGCTCATATTTGAATTCTTTGAATCTGAACAACCATTTTGGCGGCGACAATTATTTGACAGGTGAGTGTGAGTCTGCTTTCATGAACAAAGGCGTCCAGGATTCTGGCCCTCATTTGTTAGCCTTTTATATGCTCTGATATTGTAGTATAAACCTTCATGTTGCACACTGAAACTCTAGGAAAGGTACTACTTTGTTTGTGAGATGATTTTATTGAAATCTCATTGCAATTTTACTAGGGTAAAGGAGTTGATTGCTGGTGCGAAACAATCCAATTGCCAAATATCCGGAGACCCGAAGAATCTGGAGCTCAACCTGCATGATCTTCATCCCGCCTCTTGGTCCGTTCTAGGCTCTAGTAGTATCTGCCCTGTCATCACCAGCGCATTCTATAGACATGTAAAACTATTTTGGGACGAGAGCTTGTTTTCAGATAACGCGTTATTCTGAATTTCAGGTACTGCGTCGCGTGGTATCCCATATACCGTATACCTGACGGGAAATTCCAGGCTGCTTTCCTGACGTACCATTCTCTCGGACACTGGGTTCATCGAGGGAGCTCATCAGACCAGGCTGGGCATAGCCATGCTGTTTTGCCAGTGATGGGTTTGCAATCTTACAACGACAAGGTAAAACAGCTGCTTTTCTCCCGACACATACACACATACATACATGTTAACCGAAGATTGTTTAAAGTTGGTGTTAAGACCCCAGACGTTGGAAGCCATGCTGGCTCGTTGTCGAAGCAAACAGAGTGGCTAGTGTGCTTGCTCGCTTATTTCGCTTGTTTTGTTCATGTGACGACTCTTTGCATCGTGTGTCGCAGGGGGAGTGGTGGTTCCAGACGAGCAGATCCGGTTCAGAAGACGCCGATTCCTCGTCAAGTGAACCATCTCAGGTTCTCCAAGAAAGGTTGTCGACGCTGAACCAAGCCGCGGCGGCCATGGCCAGGGCCGACGTGTGGAAGGAGGACCAGAAGCGCAGAAACAGGCACCCCGACTACGAGTTCTTCCTGTCCCGGCAGCAACGGTAGACAGACGGCTCGAGGCTTCTTGCGCGCCGTCTGCCTGTGTTGCCACCTTGTGTATATTTGAGATAGAGGTACATGTCATGTGGAGGTGCTGCTCAATTGAAAGTGAAACCAGACCATGAATGTCTAGCTGCTCACTGCTTACTACTGTAGTTGGGGTTCATGTCATAGGTGCAAAACCCCCTTTTTAATCTAATTAGATTGATTACTCGTGTGACGTGTGTACATATATATGTATATGCCTGTAACTCGCTCAACTCAGCCCAGCCCTGTATCTAACTCTGTAGCCGCATGACATAATATAGATGTGATCAACAAGTATGCAGGAAATTAATTATCAGGAAATCGTCATCATCATGGTTGAGTGAGAATGAGGAGGCTGCAATGCAACTCAACACTACATGTGTGAGTGTGACACTGTGAGCTTATGGAATGTAGCTGAAGATCACATCAAATAGTACATGCTAGAGTACTAGAGCTAGCTAGTAGAACATGGCAGGGGAGACGCATGAGGCGGAGCATATGCCTCTGAAGATGATGTGATGCCTAGGGGCACTTGAGCTTGCCGTTGTGCGGGTTGGTCATGGTGGCGTAGCAGGGGCAGATGTGGCGGGTGTCCTGGCCGGTGCCGGGGGGCACGCAGTTGCAGCGCTGGCAGCAGACGTTGCACTTGTCGTTGCACATCTCCTTCCTCCAGTTGTTGGCGCACCGGCCCGCGCACACCTTGGGGCAGTCTGCAAGCCAGATCCGGCGAGGCAAGAGGAACAGCCGGCCACATGAGTACATGTTACGTTGCGCCGAAGACGTGTGTTGGTTAGAGCGTACCTAGCCTGGGAGGAGGCGGCTGCTGCTGGAGCAGGGACCTGGTGCCGCTGGCTCGCATGCCGCCGTGGGTCGCCTGCAGCAGAAAAAGGGTTGAGATGTGATGATCTGAGGGTAAAAAACATCTGCATGCGTGTTTGATTGTGTGTGTGGTTTGCTTAATTACCGGTGGGTCGGAAGCGGCCTGATGGTGGGCGGCGAGAGCGAGGAGGAGCATCAGCAGAAGCAGAGGCGGAGGAAGGAGGAGACGGCGGCGAGTGAGAGGCTGCGCCATGGATGCTAGCTAGAGGTCGAGCTGGAGCTCTGCAAGCGGTGTAAGTGTGCGTTGCAAGTGGCAGGGGCTTGGTTTGCGAGGGTTTTTAGCTAGACCCGAGAGAGATGGATCCACGAGGCCGGGTTGTCGCTTATGTAATAACGCCGGCAGCAGTGCGCAGCGTGGTGGTGGCAGACAGTCTGACAGAGCTACCACGGCGACCATGCCTATTGATTACTACACCACGGACCAGCCAGCGTCGGCGTCGGCACTCACTCACAGCCGTCCATCCCTCTCTTTTTATTTTTATTGTTAGACATTGTTAGACTGCACGCATCATGCCCCTCCCGTGACCATCACACAGTATTATTACCACCCAGCAGCGCACAAGGATGGAATGGACGGTCACTTTTGGTCGGTCCCACACGCACAGAGGCAACCACACTAGTGCATCATCATCACTCACCGCCCGTTTTTATCTTGAATTTTCATCCCTGAATCAGCTATCATCCACTTCATCCCACTTTCAACACAAATCGCAATATTATTCCCACATACGCATCTGCCTCATTTTAAGTTCTAAGCAATTAATCCCATCAACATAAAGGGGCGGTTGAATCAAGTACTCACGGGCGACAACAATGACTCATGCTGCTACAGGCCGCAGGCTGCTACCAATCAACGCTACACGATCGATCAAGTTCTACTTATTAATAATTAAGCAACCAAGCAAAAGGGAACCAATTAATCCAGAGTTCCGACGACTGAAGGAACCGAAACCGTCGAGACACGGACGGCCGACGACGACGAACACGACGACCCTAGGCCTCGTCGGCGTAGGCGGGCTCGAGGATGGCGGCCTCGGCCTCCTGCACCTCCTTCTCCGACTTGCGCCCCTTCTTGGACTTGTAGTAGACGCTCATGAAGGTGCCCACGGCGCCGTATTTCTGCCGGCAGTGCTCGTAGTGCGACGCGTCGAACATGCGCCAGAAGTCCTTCTCGTTCAGCTCCGTCACCGCGTACTGCGGCTGGTAGCTGTGGTTCTCGATCAGCCACTGCTCCAGCCGCTTCACCGACTCCGCCCCGTCGAACTCCTCCCCCCTGAAGATGCACGCCGGCGTGTAGTACACCCCCACGTCCGTGAACATCTGCGCGTAGCTCGTGTCCCCCTGCCGCTGGTGGTGCTCGAACCCAGGCTCCGGGTAGATCATCGTCTTCACCGGCAGCTTGAACAGCCGGTGCGGGCACAGCCACAGCGGGTACACCTGTTTGTTGTTATTGAGCATGAGCATGAGCATGAGCATGAGCATGAGCAGCAATATGCCTACGTGAATGTTAAGCAAGGGAAAGATAGACATACCTCCATCTCGTGGTGGACGAACTCGAGGGCGTCTCCAACCTTGTACAGCGGCACGAGCATGTCCTGGATGACATGGTTGTCATGGTAGTAGTTCCTGATGGCGTCGCCCTGGGTGGCCTTGAGCAGGGACACCTTGGGGGGCATCAGCCAGCCGAAGAGGAACCTGAACCAGAACTGGTCGCCGAAGGGCAGGATGAGCTTCCCCTCCCAGTACAGGCACCGGGTGTGCCTGTGGTAGTACTCCCTCGTCGGGATGTACTCCACGAACTCGCCCTTCTTGAGCGCCGTCTGCGCGTGCTGGTAGAACCATGGCTTGAACCACCACCCCACGCTGTTGATCTTGTTGCCCTTCTTCTTGGCCTCCTCCTTGGACGCGTACACGCCGGTCATCATCACGCCCTCCGTCGCGCTGTACACCATCCCTTCCACGAAGTCGGGGACCTTTGCGGGGTCGCCGTCCCTCGGCGCGACGGCGTCGGCGTATGCCTGCGCCACCTCCTTCAGGGGGCCCTTCACCGGGGTGTAGGTCAGCCTCATGTACTCCTTGATGGGGATGAGCTTGATCTCGGCTGAAACAAGGAACCCGAGAGTGCCCTGCGACCAGGGCACGCCGTAGAAGAGGTCGGAGTACTCGTTGTCCTTGGTGGCCCGGACGACCCGGCCGTCAGCCAGGACGATCTCCAGCGCCACCACCGTGTCGGAGAAGAGCCCGTAGATGTGAGAGCTCCCCTCGATGCCGTAGCCGTTGATGAGGCCGCCGACGGTGAGGTCGTCGAGCTCCGCCACCACGGCGAGGGAGAGGTTCATCGGGCAGGTGGCCCTGGATATCTGGCCCATGTTGACGAGCGGCTCCACCTTGGCAACCATCCTCTCGGGGTCGATCTCAAGGATGTTCCTGAAGGCAGAGAGGTCGACCTCGAAGTGCCTGGCACGCTTGTAGTCGACGTTGCGCATGCCGACGGCGATCCAGGGCTTCCTGGCCGTGCAGACGAGGCCGTCCTTCTTGGGGTTGCGCTGCTTGAGCCGCTTCACGACCTTCTGCACGTTCTCCTCGTGCTCCTTCTGCCGCTTCTTCTCCGACTTCATGGCGGACCACATGTCGCCCAGGTAGATGTTGAAGTAGATGAGCGCCGAGGCCGGAAGCACCACGAAGATGACGAGGATCCATCGGAACTGCACCAGGTAGTCCACCAAGACCTTCTTCCTCTTTGGTCGCACCAGCGGCGTCTGCAGATCCGCCATGGCTGGAGGCTAATTTCTGAAATGAAAAGTGTACAAAGAGATGTTAGCTGAGCCATGATATGATATAACAGTAACATTGAAGCATATCAGGGAGAAAATCTACACAGGAAAGGCAAAAAATAACAAATGCAGCAGCAGTAACATATTCTCATGACTACCAGGACACAACCATCCCAATTCCAATTTACCATGTACTGTACAGCTTAAAAGCAAAGCATATCAGGAAGAAATAATTATACACAGGCGAGGCTGAAAAGAAGAACAGAAGAGTAGCATTGTCATGGCCCCCAAAGACATATATTGACCAAGGGCTGTATCAGTAAGACTCTTTATCCATCCCAATTCCATTTTGAATTTTTAACTGTCATATAATGTTAAGCATATCCTATTATTATACAAACAGATGCTGTCACGGACATGGGCAGTGCAGGTGCCAGGCCATTGGGCATGATCACATCAGTAATGTCAGCTGAGCCATGGTGGTATATATAAGAGTAACAGGGAAGAAGTGTATACTAGGGTTAAAAAACTGTAAACAGGAGAGGCGAAACATAACAAAAGCAGAGTAGCCTTTTTCTTATGGCTTGGTTGCCAAGACGCATCCATCCCTATTCTATTTTTTATCGCCACATGATGTTAGGTGAAAATGATGCAGTGACATCTAGTAACATGGAGCATATTCTTTACACAAACTGGATCAACATGGAGTAGAGGGTAACAGACAGCATCGTTCACAGGCAGAGCAACCTACAGTAGCTGCCAAGGAACTGGTGACATGACATGGCATGAGTAACTCCGTGAGAAGTACACATACGCACAACCATGAGTAATTCCTAACACCTGCTGTCATTCATTCAGAGCTCCACATGTCAAAACCTATGCACCATCATCTTTTAACCCCTAGCACCGATAACATATAGTAACATTCAGAGTTGCCGTGTAAGTAAAAATGCTGCATGTTTAGCCAGATTTGTGCGGCTGCGATGTAGTTAGTACATGCAAGAAGTGTGTGTGTGTGTGTGTGTGTGTGTAACTGCTAGAACATATATGGATGGATCCAGATCCGTGGAGAACTCATGCGCTGGCTGCCAAAATTAGTAATCCTATAACTGGTAACGTGATAAATTGATAATGACAGGAAGGGGCAAACGTTGACTGAAGATTTCATACAGCTGCATTCACCCAAAAGAAAAAAAACTAGTGCATGCCTAAAGTAGCACAACCTAGAATCCCGGTGCCGGACGGGCAGATCTGTACTCTTGTGTATGAGATTTTGACAGTGGGGTGGGGTAAACAAACAGTTCAATCATCTCAAGAAGAACGGCAATCCGACAGAATCCTACTCGTGCCTAAGAACTGATAGATCCAGTGGGTGTTAGGCCCCTGGCCCTGAGGAATGTGGGGGAAAAGAAGCTTAACCGAAAGAGACACCGCGCAGGAACGCACGCACGCACCCACCCACGCGAGCCGCGCCTTTGGCCGGCAGAGCAGAGCGGGCGGCGAGGAGAGAAGAATGAAGTTTCTTTTTTGGTGGCGGTGATTTTAGGGAGGGTCTGTGGCAGGAGCAAAAACAGCAAAAAAAGAAATCCGGCTTTGTTTGTGTGGTGCGCGCGGGATCTGGAAACCTGGGGGATACGGAGGAGTATTGGATCCGCTCATGGTCGGAGTAGCGGAGGAGGAGCATGCAGCAATCAGTGGATCGGATCGGAGCGGAGCGGAGGAAGGCGGAGCTGCTTACCAGGAGCGGAAGGGGAGGAGGAGAGCAGAGCAGATCCCCCGTCTGCTCCAAGGGAAGCCGCTCGCCTCGCCTGGTGTTGGTGCCGGAGTAGTATTTGACTATTTGGAGGAGGAGGTGTGGGTTTGGTAGTGTGGATTAGAGTAGAGCAGACAGCAGAGCAGAGGAGGAGGTTTTGGGGTTGGTGGGGGAGGGGCGGGCTTTTTTTGTGCTGCTGTTACTAGGGATGCACGCATGGTTTTCACGTGAGCAGTTACCGCCGCGCGCATGGCATTTTTTTCACGCCTTCGCAAGCTATCTAGGCGAGCAACAAAATTTGAACAAGGAACCCAACAGATGAGGTTTTGGGGTTGGTGGGGGGAGTGCGCATTGACTCCCATGCCCTCACTCCATTTGTCATCTTCTACCAGTACTCGCAGCGTCTGACGAAACTGCCCCTGTCTAGCCTGGGCCGGAAACGGACGGACATTTCTGGAGAGACCTGATGATGAGATGACCCCCCAAAAAAAAAAGATACCCTAACATCTGCTGCCCTCGTCTCCATCCATCCATCCATCTCCGTGTTGCCGGCCAGCGAGAATGGCGGCAGCAGCAGGGACGGACGGACGGACGGGCGGAGAAAACAGAGGAAACCGACGGCCCAAACTCCCGCTTTTTTGGGCTGCTGTTACTAGTGTCGACAAC